CTACACACATTGTCACGTCACGCCGTGACCATCTTATATATATCAGACCACCCTCCAATCTAGTAAATGCTAGAGCGCTCCCGAAGGAACGGGATAGTTCTAGAAAGCAGGTGGCGTGACACTAGTCACGTGACCTCGCTGACGCAACAATATCATCCAAGTAACCTGAGCTTTACATGTGCTTTCCTTATTTCCATGGTTCAAGGGGGCTTGGCTATCCCCCTTTCTATCAAAACCCCTTATTATGCTTCGTATGTAGTCCCCTGAATAAGCATTTCTCGCTTAAAAGAGTCCTAGTTTCCCGTTTCTTTACTACAAACTTTATCAATCCTACGGACGTAGCCAGTAATTAAACCACTTTTTACCGCAAGGGGATGATGTGAGTGGAAATGCAAAAAAAAAAAAAGGCTTTAGGTAAATGGTTTGTCAAAAATACCATTAATGATGTTCCCATCCTTAACATGAATGATGGTATCTAAAAACGGTAAATATCTACCTGATACGGTATAAGTAATTGTAAATATTATGACAACGGATAGACTGTGTTCAAAACTCATGGAAACTAATAAAATGTGGTTCTAACTACAAGAACCGTACATTACTATACTTGACAACGGATAGACTGTGTTCAAAACTCATGGAAACTAATAAAATGTGGTTCTAACTACAAGAACCGTACATTACTATACATGACAACTAGACATGTAGAGGAATTGTAAAGTGTTAGGCACACCTAGTGAACTACAAGAACCTTACATTACTAGTCTTTTAAACTGTACGTTTAGTAAACTAGAATAAAAATACAATGTTAGACTTGTTAATGGGCCATTTAGTAAACTAGAAAAACAGTATAATTTTAGAAATGTAGAAAGGACATTTAGAAAATAACAGACGGTGTTAAACTTCGTAACTGGACACACTTTGTAAATTGGAAGAACATTACAGTGACAGAGTTTTCAACTGGAAATTTAGTGAACTACAAGAACTGCTAGACTTGGTAACAGGACACTTAGTAAACTAGAAGAAAAGTACAGTACTAGATTTATAAACTTGCTTCAACTAAAAAGTTTCAAATAAATGTTAAGGTAGGATGTGGCTTAGCCCTTATCGTTACGTACATTCAGCTGATATAAGTATGAAGATTAATATCCATAAGGGCACAAGAGACTTGGTCTGCTTACAGTTTGCCCTTCTTTTGGTCCTTTGCCCTATCATTTGTTAATTTAAATGTATTTCAGGTTAAATATTCCTAATGCTAGCATGTTTCAAGTATTCATGCTATTAAGACGATAAATTTCATCAGTCAATATTAATTTCAGAAGTTGTAATTATCATCTTTTCTAGAGTAAAGCTAAGTGAGTATTGATAAAAAAAACCTTTGAATGTTTTTAACATAGAGAAATAAATACAATACTAGGGTACTCTAATCTTACTGACAAATTGGGACACCATTATTTTATGTTGATTCGATTCAGTAATATGAAAAATAAAGTTAATCACATCCATTCAACACATTAAATGTCTATTACACATTGTTAAAACTAAACATCTTAGCCTAACGTACTCATTATGTACAACAGTTAAAGAAACATT